GAACTGCTACATCTCGTTCATGAACGAAATGAATGAGAGTGTACCGGGTCAGTCGGCCATTTAGCATGTCAATCTCGATCAGCAATCAGCAGAAAGCAGATGCAAAGCGCAGTTATAGGTACTGTGCACATACGCTTGTTTATATATTCATATTTCGCATAAAGAACATGACTCCACGTTTAATCCCCGATTTATGAATGAATGTGTAAATGTCTGACTAAACAATTAAAATGTTAATTATGCAAGAAAACCTTGTGCTTTGGTCATCTGAACAACTTATTTAGACTTTATTTCTTTAATGAGTAGATTATGCACACATTTTAATAAAGCCAAATCAGTTTTTGTAACAAGTGGATACGTTCGTTGACTTAAAACACAAGACATAAGACACTCTTTTTCGCCACCTGCTGGCGTATTTATGCAATAAGAAGAAATTGTCACTGAACGAATCGATGAACGAATCTGAACGAATCATTTTGGTGAAGGAACTGAAAATGAACCAATCTCTTGAAAGAATCAAAATTTCCATCACTACTCTGAATTGGTCTATTACTTACTATTGGAGAAAGCGTAACGGCTAACTTGGATCACGTGTTGTGTAATAACCAATCACATTACAGCCTTGACGTCATTGAATTTCAGTCAGAGCTGTGCGACACTCAATCGCTGTTTACGGATCCCATAGGAATGAATGAGAGTGCCGTAAACTGAATCCCACCTGTCGCAAAAAGTCAGTGACTTCTCTTATAAAACGGCATTTTTTTTCGTGGTAAACTCTAAAAATAGTTAAATCCAAAATTATTGTTTAGTGTAAAACATGTTACATGTTAAAAAAGCTGTTTATAAAACTTAGTGAAGCCTCTCCTCCATTGACAGCCATTCAAAAAAAAAATAATAATAATAAATCCGTTAGCATTAGCCGTTATGGTTTTTTGTCTAATGGTTGCAGGCTTGCCTTCTAATGGCTTTTTTCATAAGCGCAGCTCAGCTTTGTTTATAGCGGTAATTAACCCAGGAAACACAAGGACTGTGTCCGAAAACTCTAAAATGCTGTTTTGATATCCCACAATCCTGTGCGCTCCATTCCGTGACGGTTGAGCTAAAAAATAAAGATGGCGTCTGAAAGTTGCGTTTGGTGGTCAGTTTGTATGTAAATGTATATTTCTGACTAACGTTTTGCACTTTTGATGTTATTTCTAGCGAGAAATTAGTATTATAGTAATTAAATATTCGTTTAGTTATCACCAAAACACGTTCTGTTTTGTTGTAGATCATTAAACCGTTACGCTTTCGAACGCAGCTCGTATCTTTGCTGTTCGTAAGCGCCATCTGCTGGCAGAGAGTGAGTTTGCATCTCGTTCAGTTGTTAGCTTCATTTACTGTATGTAGTTATTCTGTGTCTCTCAGAAGTTTGTTCAACTCGGTTATATACATTTGTTATTCGTGGTGATTGTATAACCTGTCACTAGCTCTTACTCTCATAGTAGAGTAATCTTTCAGTTATGTCTCTGATTGTAAAAAAAACTATATTTTCTGTATTTAAATGAAAAAAAAAAACATGTGATTTTACAATTTCCTACGTCTTGTCCTGCATACAACACAGACAAAATACAATACAAACTACACTGCTGTTCAGACGTTTTTTTTATTAATACTTTTATTGAGAATATTGATTTCAAATTTCTAGCAGAACAAACAGATGAAATATATCCATATACGGTATACACAATAGAGAGGAAAAATAAATCGATGCATAAAATAATAAAAATGAAAGAAATGAACTGTTAGGTTTACAGGGGAAGAATAATACATTTTAATAATTTATTTAATCAAGGACACCTTCAATTGATCAAAAGTGACAGATAAGACTTTTAAAACAAAGTCATGTTCTAAAAGATTTACATTTCAAATAAATGCTGTTATTTTGAATGTTCTATTCATCATAGAATCCTGAAAAAATGTTTCCATAAAAATATTGGGCAGCACAACAGTTTCAACACTGATAATAAATCAATATATTATACTGATTTCTGAAGATCATGTGACTCTGAAGACTGGAGTAATGATGCTGAAAATACAGCTGCGCATCACAGGAATAAATTAAATTTTTTAACATATATTCACATAGAAAAGGTATTTTTAATTGTAATAATATTTCACAATATTTGTGTTTTTCTGCTGTATTTTAATCAAATAAATGCAGTCTTGGTGAGCAGAAGAGACTTTCAAACATTCAACCATCAAAAATGTAATAAATCTTACTGACCCCAAGCTTGTAATGATAGTGTACATTTATATCCCATGCTCTGTAGGCTCATTATATTCCTGTTGTCAGTTATGTTATATGTGGTTTTGTGGCAGGGTGTACCCGGATGTGGTTCCAGCCGTCAGACGGTGGAGGCGTGGAGGTCTGAAGGTCTTCATCTACTCCTCAGGAAGTGTGGAGGCGCAGAAGCTGCTCTTTGGCTACTCTGTCGAAGGAGATCTCTTAGATGTAAGCTTGATCAGTGATAATAAGCACTATTCTGAACGGCACGATGTCGTTTCTCGTGCTCGCATGAGATTCAGATCTCTTTAGTCTCTAGTCTGGATGTGCATCGCCGAACCCGCTGGGCTTATTAATGTGATTAATCATGTAAGGAGTCGTGTCCTGTAGGCTAGTCATTATTGGCACTATTCAGATGCTGTGTCACTCTGAAGTGGCTTATTTTGCACTGATGTCCAGCTGATTGTACATTATTGCCGCTCCTACAGTGGCTTTTATGATTATCAGAGTCTACTTATTGATTAGTTTCCTTTTTTTTAATAAGATGCCAGCAGTAATGCTATTTTATTAGTGGTGTTAGACTATTGTAGTATTTATTAATATTTTCAATTATCTTTTGTATTTTTAGTTTTAATTTGAGGTAAAATTCCAGTTTTCTTGTGGGTTGCATTATTTAATTCAAATGGTTAAAAAAAAGTAAAATATTTGAAATACTAATATTTTGAATTAACTTTTAGTTCTATCAGTTTTCATTTTAGAAAAGTATTATTATTTGTCTTTAGCTGTAATGCATTTGTATTGTAATTTTAGCATTTTTAGTACTTCAACTTATTAATTTCAGTTATTTACCCAGGCTAAGTTAGTTTTTCCATCTAATATTTGTATTTATATATATATATATATATATATATATATATATATATATATATATATATATATAAATAAATACATACAAATATTAGATGGAAAAACAAAGTTGGCTATAATATATATATATATAAATAAAGGTGACAACACTGGTGTGTTGTTTTTCTCATTAGTTCTATTTTATTTCGTTTCTTTAATTTCTATTTTATATTTTTATTGATATTTTTCTATATTAAATAACACTTATTATATTTCAGTTAGTTGCTAATGCTAAGGCAGTATTTCTAATGTTCTTTCTTTTTTTACATTTAATATTTATATTTTATTTCAGTTTTATTTGAATTGATGTAAATGTTTTTTTTAATAGTGTTCATTTTTGTAATCACTGGCGAGCAGTAACCACCAAAAGTTTTTCTTTTCTTTTTTTACCAAGAAAGTCGTCAAAAAGGTCTTAATCCGTAATGAAGCTTCACCAGGAAATAATAAAAATAGCTTTAGTTATGGTATTTCAGTAAAGGTCAAAATAAGTAATGCATAGTGATCTAGAAAGGATTATAAATGACAATCACATTGATCCCTTTACTATTAAAGCCAATAAACTGTGATCCCTCCGCAGGGAATATTAGAAATAAAAGTGTTTGCTTGATACAGATTCACAAGCTTAAATGAGTTGATGTAGATTTGCAAGTTTAGAATTTTTACATTTATTTTCTCAGCTGTTTGATGGTCACTTCGACACTAACATTGGTGCCAAAGTAGAAAGTAAGAGCTATGAGAACATCGCGGAGAGGATTGGATGCCAACCGGAGGAAATCATGTTCTTAACCGACGTCACACGAGGTGCGTGCACGCTTTTCATTTTCAGTACACGCTTGTGCCACAATTACATGAGGCTTCAGCGTCACTAAATCTCCCTTACAGAGGCAAAGGCAGCAGAGGATGCTGGGGTGAACGTGATCATGGTAGTTAGACCTGGCAACACGGAGTTAACCGAAGAGGAGAGGAGCCATTATAGAGTCGTCACATCTTTCAACCAGTTAGAGCTGATTGGGAACGTTTGACAGCGCAGAACTGCATCGGATCATGTGAAAACCAGCGGGTACTATGTGTTGTTATTCCGCTGGACTGAAACGCCAAGCCTCCCAGGTGCTTGTTTTTTACACTGAAACCCATCTGTGAATTATCATGCACTCACATTCTCTTCGAATGTTTTATATGCGGTGTTAATGTGTAGCATATGACATATTCATGTCTTTATCCCCCACATGTGCAGTGATATAAAATATGATGACCTGCCAACTAGACACGGGTTTAGTGTGATTGTACCTCATGTCTTATAAACCTCAGTCTTAAATGTTGTTGTAAAATTTTATTCCAAACGGACACATCGAACAAATCACATTTGCTACATTTAGATACACCAGCACCCGAGAACAGATGTCTGTTTTAGTAACAAAATACAGGATCATGACCAATCTCAGAGATGTTTTACAATACTTAACATCAAGTATAAAAAGCTGCATAAGCTTCTTTTAAGATTATGCAGGACCGGTTTAAAATGTAATGCGGTTACACGAATACAAACCATCTGTGATTCAATATCGAAGGTACAGTTCACCCAAAAATAAAAATGGCGTTTACATTTACTCACCCTCAGTTTGTTACAGACCTGCATGTTCTGTTGAACACAAAAGAGGATATTTTGAAGAATGTTGGTGAGCAAACAGTTGACGGTAGCCATTGACTTCCATTGTATTCTTTTTTTTTTCGTTCTATGGCTACCAGCAACTGTTTGCTTACCAACATTCTTCAAAATATCTTTATTTATGTTCAACAAAAGAAAGAAACTACAGGTTTGGAACAACTTGAGGGTGAGTAAATGATGAGCAAATTTTAATTTTTGGGTGAACTGTCCCTTTAAATGAAGTTTCCAAATCTGTACGCGGTGTAAAGCTTCTTCGGAAGCTCTTAGATCTTCCACAGAAAAAATAACAGCGTACGGATTTGAAGTGACAACAACAGAATATAAACCGAATGTTTCTTAACAGATTATCTTGCCAAAAACTGTTCCTGTATTCAGATGTTCTCCTTGGAAGTGTCCTTGTTGCTTCGCTCATCTGACACACAAACGTGGAACACGTCACAGTAAATCCTTGTGCATTTCGTGAATTTGTTGCTTTTGCGAAAGCCTATCTACACATTCAAAAGACGTACTCGTCCGGAGGCCTTTCTAGAGAGATTACATTCAGCTGACATGCAGGACTGAACGCTGGAAGAGACTAGAGCTGGTCAGACTGGTACTCGGAGACCTCGGAGAAGCTTTCGGAGAGGCTGAGTGGAGGCTCCTGCTCGTCGCTGCAGACGATCTCGAAGTGGTAGTGGCGAAACTCAATGGCGAACGTGGCCAGGTACGTCAGGAAGAACATGACCAGCGCCCACTGAGCACGGGCCGCATGCATGTGCAGCCGCTGAGCCATCAGAGTGAAGTCTGAGGTCTGCCGTCAAGGCTGGAATATGGGAAAATGTGTAGAAGAAGTAGGGGGTTAAACTCAACTGTGCTATGTTGGGACACCATGAGTATGAAATAAAATGCACTTTTAAAGGGATAGTTGCATTACCGCCACCTATCTCTCAAATGAACCATTGACACTCCTAATTGAGATTGTAGATAGAGGGCCAATGGTCCATTTGAGAGATAGGTGGCGGTAATGCACTTATAAGTGCGATCCGCTGTAAAGCAAGACGAAGACGCGAACGCGCTCAGGACGTGCTCAGGACAGTTGGACATTGCGGCGAATCAGAGGTAAAAAATTATATAAATACTGTTCTTTCTTGCACAGACCGATCGTTTCGTGTCTTAAGACATCAATGTATCGTCACGAGCCGCAGGGTTTCATTTGGTTTTGTCTGTGTATGTTTTTTTTCCTCTCGAAGGCGTGGAGCCCATCCACTGCCATTATATGACTGACAGACTGCAACGGTTTGAGTTAAAAATCTCAGTTTGTGTTCTACTGAAGAAACAAAGTCACCTACATCTTGGATGCTCTGGGGGTAAGCAGATAAACATCACATTTTCATTTTTGGGTGAACTATCCCTTTAACATACTATCTCTATTTTAAAAATGTATTTGGTTACCTCTTGTAGTACACTTGAACCCATCTTTCATACACTCAAGTGTACTACAAGCGGTGACTAAATACATTTTTTAATACAGAGATAGTATGTTAAAAGCCCATTTTAGTTCATTTTCATGGTGTCCCAAAATAGCACAGTTGAGTACACTTAGATGTACTAAAGAATCATTTTTAGTATGTCAAGTACAAAATTAGTGTGTGTGAAAATAGAGCACTTTAAGTACATTATGGAAGTGCACTCTCTTTTTAAAATATTTTTTTGTTGTTTTTTTTTTTACACCTGGGATACTGTATATTCACAATAATCTGGTGATCGAGCAACATTGACCGCAACAATAGCTTAAACCTGCCTAAGGTGGTTAGCTTGTCTGTTTTGATGGATAAGATGATAGTGTACCAACTAAACCAGCTTAAGCAGGGTGAAATCTGATTCATTTCTGTGAATCAGGTCAGATTGTCTGATTCAGCGATTTCTTTTCTGTCATTCTGTCATCATGTTCACGGATATCTTTGTATGGAAGCTTGTTTTTGCCTCTGAATAAAAATAAAAAAGGTAATTGCAATATTGCAATGTTCAATTCTCACTTATTTTGTTTTATGAATCACGCATTTTTGAGTGATAAAGTCAGAATAGCATGATATAAATTTGCAGTTCTAAGAAAAATTCAGAATTGAAAAGTTTCAAATGACTTTTTTTACTTGGTGTCAGAAATGGGCTTCCTAGCTTAGTGAGAAACAAGTACACTTAAGCTTTTTTTATCATGGAAATAATATACTTTCAAAAGAATATACTGTTCAGTGCAAACTGAACGTAATGTTTTCGGACACTTAATTACACGTTGCTGTTAAATGAAAATGTATTGTAGTTTAAATTCATATTAAATGAAATTAGCTGAGCTTTTTGACCCACTTAAGTAGGACTTAAGTACATCTTTATATGTAATTTCATAATTACTTCTATTGTCTTTAAAATAGTATCAATGTTAAAGTGAACTGCTGAATGTACTGACAAGCATTTATGGAAAACAAATATTTTAATAAAAAAATTTTAAAAGTTGCATGTCATATTTAAATATATTTGTAATATATATATATTTACTACACATTTGTAGTGATCATGTTGCAATTTAGTATCTTTAAAATATATGAACTTTTAATGTAATATTGAATAACACGCTACATTTAAAATTATAATCAAGTACTTTTTACATGCGCTTTAGTATGTTAGTCAGCACTTAAAATTAAAGTACGGCCAAATATTAAAATAATAATTGCTTTAAATTTGACATTACAAAGTGCACTTTTTGTAAGTGTGTTATGAAACGTAGGTTACACTTGATTTTGTTACTTACAATAGGATTCAGGGTTTGGTGTGGGGTTAGTTGCATGCAATATACACGTACATGAAAGAACCGTTTTTACAAAAATAAAAGCACTTATTTTTTGCAAGGGGTGTGTATATAAAATAGAAATTTTTTTCATGCTTTGTTCTAATGGTGAAATGCCTTTTTCTACATTTTTTATGTTATACATTTTTTTAAAGCAATTTTGGATCTCTGACAACAGTGGGTTTGTTTGAAATGACATATTTAGATATTTCAGAGCAAGATGTATAATGCATATCATCAGAAACCGAGACGTTCTGGCGTTATCACCCAACCCTATCATTTACTTGCAGCTAGATTAATTTCTTTCTGCACAGTCGACAGTGTCAGTGCTCGCAGAGGAAGAAAAAAGGATACAAAGCAGCATGCAGGAAGTTACAGCTCCGGACAACAGGAAGCGAGGGATTCCTGCTCGCCTGCCTTCATTCCTCAGGTTGACCTTTAGGGTCATGAAAGACTGGACCCAGCAGAACAGTGTTCCTAGGCCAAAGGTCATGGACGTGCCAATGTTGTGCAGCTCCTCATCGTTGGACAGCTAGATCAGCAAAAACAAACGAGGTGTTAAGGTGAAAATAGATCACTTAAAAAGTAATGCAGAATTAATTTCATTCATTTAAATGTGTAGAAATGTTTCATTTTGGCATGAAAGAATATCTGTTAATAAGTGGCTCAATATTTTGTTTGCAAAACAAAAAATCATACCTGGAAATTCCCAACTAAAGTCATACCAAAGCAGGCAAGAGACAAAGCCACCAGACTGCCGATGTTGAGCCAGGGTTTATGCACTCTCGGCTTCAGCTGCAGATATCGCAGCACTCCCAGAATGAAGCCTGGAGCCCGAGAGACCATGAACATTTATTTCAAACAATTCTACATTCATTCCAAGATGTAGATGAGTTTGTTTCTTTATCAGATTTGGAGCACTGCATCACCGTCTCGCCAATGGAAGTGAATGGGTGCCGTCAGAATGAGAGTCCAAACAGCTGATAAAAACATCACAATAATCCACTCCAGTCCATCAGTGAACATCTTGAGAAGATGAAAGCTGTGTGTTTGTAAGAAACTAATCCACCATTACGCTGTTTTTAACTTCAAACTGTTGCTTCCAACTAAAATGCATGCCTTCTATTCATAACATTGCTTCCTCCAGAGAACTGTCGTCATGGGGCCGTTCCTCGTACCTCGCTGAATACATCCGAGATGATCTATGATCTAATCGTGATAACTGATCTCTGGCTAATTTGGTTCTTCAAACGAATTTGCGGATTTGATTCAAACATCTGGATTAAGTTGTCTAAGATCAGTGCGCGTTCTCGTGTTCCCCGTAAAGGGCAGATGTATCGATACTCGAGACCACGATCAGCAATCAGTGTTGCCAACTGCTGTCAATTGAAAGCAGCTAAAACTGTAGCTAAATGTCACTAGATGACATCACAATGGCTATATAAAGATGAACGTAGATCAGTGGGCAAGGTGAGAACTTAGATACGGTTTATCCAAGAAGTTGCTATATTTGTCCCTAAACCTTTGAAAAAAGTCTCAAAAGGGGTGGGGAAGTCACTGAATCTAGCTACAAAATTGCTAAATTGGCAACACTGTCAGCAATGCAGCGATTGGCCGGCGGCAAGACAGCAACGTAAGGACATCATATAATTAAAAAAGACACCTGACGGGAAAACTTGACACGTTTCTGGAAACAGCCAAGCGAACAAAACTACATAAATGTAATAATAGATCAATGAAATGTGCTCTGTTTTTATAGATTTTTCTACGTGATTCTACAGGCGTTTCAATTTTTATTTCAGTGTTGTAATTAGCAATTCATTTAATTTTATCGGTTTGTTACGTGACCGCATTAATTCAAGTTTCTTTAGTATCTGCGTCTCCTGCGCTCCAGCAAGCCACGCCCATAATATCTATCAGCACTCAAATTAATGCACGGCTCAGATTAACTGTACAGCATGTGTGTAAGACTCCAATACAATTATAGAGTTATTATTTCATCACGGATACATTTTTGAATGAGTGAACCTGGCTGTGTCTATAGTGTTATAGATGATGACTACACAACATTATAATATTTTTGTATTCATTTTTAAATGATTATTATTGTAAGTTTCCGTCCCTGGATCAGAAGGGTACACTTCTAATAAAGCAGCAGTGGCTGGGACAGATTTTAAGTATCGGTTCCGCTTACAAAGATGCGATCTAATCCTGTTTACATGAAATAAGCTGCTCCCGAGCAGGTTTAAGCGTACGGACCTGTTGACGGCAAGTCTGGGATGAGCTTCGAGGAACCAAACAATCCAAGATCACGCCAAATCATCAACAATCAAATCCAGCTAACTGAGTTAGCCACGTGCGAAGAACAGACCCCTGGTCTGAATCAAGAGAGAAATCTGCAAAAAGAAAACAGTCCAAAACCGCTCTAATATGTGGCTGGATTTTGATGTGAGAGACAACAGATGATGGACTTTGTCTCTGGAGGAAGCGTTATTATAGACTCGTATTTTAGCCAGAAGTGACAGTTTAAAGTTTATGATTTGTTTCTTACAAACACACAGCTTTCGTCTTCTCCAGATGTTCACTGATGGACCGGAGTGCTGTGGATTATTGTGATGTTTTTATCAGCTGTTTGGACTCTCATTCTGACGGCACCCATTCACTGCAGAGCATCCATCTGATGAAGAAACAAACTCATCTACATCTTGAATGGTCGGAGTAAGTTTTAAGAAATTTTCGTTTTTTTTTGGTGAACTATTCCGAACTAAACTGCTGTTCATATGATGTTGGTGGACAGTGCAACAATTGCATCAGGCTACAATTTCAGTGCATATGAAGTAATGATTATAGTAGTCGTTAGCTCTTAGCTCTTTCTGTTTATAAGACCAAGTCCTCTGATAGGATCTGAGCACCATTCATACCTACAAAGGCTGCCATGTTCATGACTTGACTGAACACACAGCTGGCAGGTGGAGCATTGCCTGCGATGCTAAACAGCAAAGACAGCGCATAAGAACATTTCTCAACCTCTAAACAAATCGTGCAATTCATAATAACATTCATACAGATTTACCTGATATATGGAGGAGATTTCGATTCTGACCTCCTAGGAAAATCAGTTTGAAGGAGGCATAAATATTGATTTCTTAGATGAAATAATTGGCTTGCGATAGAGGGATATGTCCTTACTTGTACTCTGCACTGAGTGGGGTGATTTTCTCATCCTCCACAGCAATGAAATACCTGTTTAGAATGAAATTATATAACATTTATCTTAAATCATTGACCTGGAAACAGACAAAGCAGGTGTTGGATACTCACACCACCCAGAGACCAGCAGCTGTGAAGAAAGAAAACATTACAGGCAGAAACACCCATGGGCTGCACTTCCTCATGTCTCCTTGTGAACGTCAATAAAACAGCCCTGCAATAAAACCAACAGCATATTCTAACATCCTACATTCATACTCTAACAAATGCATCACATTTAAAGTGCAACAGTGGCTGCCCCATTTTTATATTTTTTTTATATTTTTTCCTTACAAATGTTAGTCCATTACAGATTACTTTATGAAAATTGTAGTTAGTAATGTAATCTGGGTTACTCATTTTAGGTGCATTCTGACTACTTTTTAGATTTATTTTACATGACTTTTACCTATAACTTGTTTTAAACATACCATAAAATGTACCACATTTATATTTTTTTTAAAAAGCACAATGAAAGAAAATATATTTCATTCTTTGATATCATAAAATGCATTTAACATTAAGCTTTTCAAATCTAAATAGTACAACGCACAGTATGATTTTTTGTAAGGAAACTTTAAAAGAGAAAAGAAATCAAACAATTATAAGTAAATTGCTGCCATTGTGAATAATACGTAATCATGTAATCCATAATAAGTAACTAATCGGATTATGAGTATTTTAAAATGCAATAGAATCTAATTACAAGTGCTTACTTTTTGTAAGAGCCAGATCACATGTAATCAGTTACTACTCGGCTCTGGTTATCCAATCATTTTCTTCAAATGAATTTCAAAAAAAGATTCTTCAATAAAAAGTTATTTGCAACATTAGACCATATGATTTAAAAATGTAAATCTGAATTAATGAACTACTGATCTCACGAAGCATTGTGAGTTATGTAACTGAATCAAAAAAGGATATTTATTGCAAGTTTATTCCAAAAATTGTAGTTTTTACCTCTTGTTAAAGAAGTGTGCTTAATTCTTCCGAAAGTGCACTTGTAGTGTACTTATTTTTTTTAAATAGTATATATATATATTTAATATATTAATAGTGTATATATATATATATATTAAACTGTACTTGCAGGTAATATATTAATGAAATAAAAGGCAGCTTAATTGTACTCAGAGTGCGTAGTTTTGTGACTGCCTTAACACATTTAAAGTGATAGTTCATCCAAAAAGAAAATCCGGTCAACATTTAGTATTTTACCTCAAGTTGTTCCAAACCTGTATGAGTTTCTGTCATAAAAGAAGATATTTTGAAGAATGTTGGTAACCAAACCATTGGCGGTGGCCATTGTCTTCCATATAAATATATACAGTGGGGCAAAAAAGTATTTAGTCAGCCACCAATTGTGCAAGTTCTCCCACTTAAAAAGATGAGAGAGGCCTGTAATTTTCATCATAGGTATACCTCAACTATGAGAGACAAAATGAGAAAAAAAAATCCAGAAAAACACAATGTAGGATTTTTAAAGGATTAATTGGTAAATTCCTCTGTAAAATAAGTATTTGGTCACCTACAAACAAGCAAGAGTTCTGGCTCTCACAGACCTGTAAGTTCTTCTTTAAGAGGCTCCTCTGTCCTCCACTCATTACCTGTATTAATGGCATCTGTTTGAACCCGTTATCAGTATAAAAGACACCTGTCCACAACCTCAAACAGTCACACTCCAAACCCCACCATGGCCAAGACCAAAGAGCTGTCAAAGGACACCAGAAACAAAATTGTAGACCTGCACCAGGCTGGGAAGACTGAATCTGCAATAGGTAAGCAGCTTGGTGTGAAGAAATCAACTGTGGGAGCAATTATTAGAAAAACGAAGGCATACAAGGGACATTGCGGCGAATCAGAGGTAAAAAATTATATAAATACTGTTCTTTCTTGCACAGACCGATCGTTTCGTGTCTTAGGACATCAATGTATCGTCACGAGCCGCAGGGTTTAATTTGGTTTTGTTTGTGTATGTTTTTTTCCCTCTCGAAGCCGTGGAGCCCATCCACTGCCATTATATGACTGACAGACTGCAACGGTTTGAGTTAAAAATCTCAGTTTGTGTTCTACTGAAGAAACAAAGTCACCTACATCTTGGATGCTCTGGGGGTAAGCAGATAAACATCACATTTTCATTTTTGGGTGAACTATCCCTTTAACATACTATCTCTATTTTAAAAATGTATTTGGTTACCTCTTGTAGTACACTTGAACCCATCTTTCATACACTCAAGTGTACTACAAGCGGTGACTAAATACATTTTTTAATACAGAGATAGTATGTTAAAAGCCCATTTTAGTTCATTTTCATGGTGTCCCAAAATAGCACAGTTGAGTACACTTAGATGTACTAAAGAATCATTTTTAGTATGTCAAGTACAAAATTAGTGTGTGTGAAAATAGAGCACTTTAAGTACATTATGGAAGTGCACTCTCTTTTTAAAATATTTTTTTGTTGTTTTTTTTTTTACACCTGGGATACTGTATATTCACAATAATCTGGTGATCGAGCAACATTGACCGCAACAATAGCTTAAACCTGCCTAAGGTGGTTAGCTTGTCTGTTTTGATGGATAAGATGATAGTGTACCAACTAAACCAGCTTAAGCAGGGTGAAATCTGATTCATTTCTGTGAATCAGGTCAGATTGTCTGATTCAGCGATTTCTTTTCTGTCATCACTTAGAAATGTTCACGGATATCTTTGTATGGAAGCTTGTTTTTGCCTCTGAATAAAAATAAAAAAGGTAATTGCAATGTTTTATTTCACAATTCTCACTTATTTTGTTTTATGAATCACGCATTTTTGAGTGATAAAGTCAGAATAGCATGATATAAATTTGCAGTTCTAAGAAAAATTCAGAATTGAAAAGTTTCAAATGACTTTTTTTACTTGGTGTCAGAAATGGGCTTCCTAGCTTAGTGAGAAACAAGTACACTTAAGCTTTTTTTATCATGGAAATAATATACTTTCAAAAGAATATACTGTTCAGTGCAAACTGAACGTAATGTTTTCGGACACTTAATTACACGTTGCTGTTAAATGAAAATGTATTGTAGTTTAAATTCATATTAAATGAAATTAGCTGAGCTTTTTGACCCACTTAAGTAGGACTTAAGTACATCTTTATATGTAATTTCATAATTACTTCTATTGTCTTTAAAATAGTATAAATGTTAAAGTGAACTGCTGAATGTACTGACAAGCATTTATGGAAAACAAATATTTTAATAAAAAAATTTTAAAAGTTGCATGTCATATTTAAATATATTTGTAATATATATATATTTACTACACATTTGTAGTGATCATGTTGCAATTTAGTACCTTTAAAATATATGAACTTTTAACGTAATATTGAATAACACGCTACATTTAAAATTATAATCAAGTACTTTTTACATGCGCTTTAGTATGTTAGTCAGCACTTAAAATTAAAGTACGACCAAATATTAAAATAATAATTGCTTTAAATTTGACATTACAAAGTGCACTTTTTGTAAGTGTGTTATGAAACGTAGGTTACACTTGATTTTGTTACTTACAATAGGATTCAGGGTTTGGTGTGGGGTTAGTTGCATGCAATATACACGTACATGAAAGAACCGTTTTTACAAAAATAAAAGCACTTATTTTTTGCAAGGGGTGTGTATATAAAATAGAAATTTTTTTCATGCTTTGTTCTAATGGTGAAATGCCTTTTTCTACATTTTTTTATGTTATACATTTTTTTAAAGCAATTTTGGATCTCTGACAACAGTGGGTTTGTTTGAAATGACATATTTAGATATTTCAGAGCAAGATGTATAATGCATATCATCAGAAACCGAGACGTTCTGGCGTTATCACCCAACCCTATCATTTACTTGCAGCTAGATTCATTTCTTTCTGCACAGTCGACAGTGTCAGTGCTCGCAGTGGAAGGAAAAAGGATACAAAGCAGCATGCAGGAAGTTACAGCTCCGGACAACAGGAAGCGAGGGATTCCTGCTCGCCTGCCTTCATTCCTCAGGTTGACCTTTAGGGTCATGAAAGACTGGACCCAGCAGAACAGTGTTCCTAGGCCAAAGGTCATGGACGTGCCAATGTTGTGCAGCTCCTCATCGTTGGACAGCTAGATCAGCAAAAACAAACGAGGTGTTAAGGTGAAAATAGATCACTTAAAAAGTAATGCAGAATTCATTTCATTCATTTAAATGTGTAGAAATGTTTCATTTTGGCATGAAAGAATATCTGTTAATAAGTGGCTCAATATTTTGTTTGCAAAACAAAAAATCATACCTGGAAATTCCCAACTAAAGTCATACCAAAGCAGGCAAGAGACAAAGCCACCAGACTGCCGATGTTGAGCCAGGGTTTATGCACTCTCGGCTTCAGCTGCAGATATCGCAGCACTCCCAGAATGAAGCCTGGAGCCCGAGAGACCATGAACATTTATTTCAAACAATTCTACATTCATTCCAAGATGTAGATGAGTTTGTTTCTTTATCAGATTTGGAGCACTGCATCACCGTCTCGCCAATGGAAGTGAATGGGTGCCGTCAGAATGAGAGTCCAAACAGCTGATAAAAACATCACAATAATCCACTCCAGTCCATCAGTGAACATCTTGAGAAGATGAAAGCTGTGTGTTTGTAAGAAACTAATCCACCATTACGCTGTTTTTAACTTCAAACTGTTGCTTCCAACTAAAATGCATGCCTTCTATTCATAACATTGCTTCCTCCAGAGAACTGTCGTCATGGGGCCGTTCCTCGTACCTCGCTGAATACATCCGAGATGATCTATGATCTAATCGTGATAACTGATCTCTGGCTAATTTGGTTCTTCAAACGAATTTGCGGATTTGATTCAAACATCTGGATTAAGTTGTCTAAGATCAGTGCGCGTTCTCGTGTTCCCCGTAAAGGGCAGATGTATCGATACTCGAGACCACGATCAGCAATCAGTGTTGCCAACTGCTGTCAATTGAAAGCAGCTAAAACTGTAGCTAAATGTCACTAGATGACATCACAATGGCTAAAATAACTCTTAAGTGCAAGCTGGATGTAATGTTTTCAGACACTTAATTACATGTTAATTGCTATTAAGTGAAAATGTATTTATAGTTCAAATTTAGCACATAAGTACATCTTTATATGTAATTTCATAATTACCTCTATTGGCTTTAAAATATTATAAAAGTTAAAGTGAACTGCCGAATGTACATTGTACACATTTATGGAAAACTAAAATATTTTAATGACATTTTTTACTTGAATGTCATATTTAAATATATTTGTAATGCATATTTACTACACATGCTACACTTTTGTGGTGATCAAGTTGCAATTTAGTACTTTTAAAATATGTGAATTTTTAATGTCATTTTGAATAACACACTACAGTTCAAATTATAATCAAGTACTTCACATGAGCTTTAGTATGTTAGTCAACACCAACATTAGTGAACTACTTTAAAGCATGGCAAAAGATTATTAATAATGATTTAAAATGTACTTTAAAGTAAAATGTTTAATTTGACATTATTAGAAAGTACTCTTTTAAAGTGTTTTTATAAACGTAGGTTACACTTTAAGGTGTCTTGTTACAATAGGATTAGGGTTAGGATTCGGGTTTGGTGTGGGGTTCAGTTGCAAGAACTATTATGCATAATTTACTGTTGTTATTATTATAGTAAGTACATGGTAGTCTAAGTTAATACATATTTTATATATGTATATGTGAAAGAACATTTTTGGCAAAAATATAATGTTTAGGTTAAAAGTACTTAAAGTACACTTATTTTTCGCAAGGGTTGTGTATACAAAATGGAAATTATTTTTTATGCTGCTTTGTTCAAATGGTGAAACGCCTTTTTCTGAATTTTTAATGTTATAATTTTTCAGTGGGTTTTGTTTGAAAGAACATATTTAGATATTTCAGAGCAAGATATATAATGCACATCATCAGAAATCGAGATATTCTGGTGTTATCACCCAGCCCTATAAAAATACTAGAGTTCATCCTCACGATAAGCATCTTTTTCTGCACAGTCAACAAATGCAGTGCTCGCATATATTGTTTTAGTTAAGTGAGCTTACGATGGAAGGAAAAAGGATACAAAGCAGCATGCAGGAAGTTACAGCTCCGGACAACAGGAAGCGAGGGATTCCTGCTCGCCTGCCTTCATTCCTCAGGTTGACCTTTAGGGTCATGAAAGACTGGACCCAGCAGAACAGTGTTCCTAGGCCAAAGGTCATGGACGTGCCAATGTTGTGCAGCTCCTCATCGTTGGACAGCTAGATCAGCAAAAACAAACGAGGTGTTAAGGTGAAAATAGATCACTTAAAAAGTAATGCAGAATTCATTTCATTCATTTAAATGTGTAGAAATGTTTCATTTTGGCATGAAAGAATATCTGTTAATAAGTGGCTCAATATTTTGTTTGCAAAACAAAAAATCATACCTGGAAATTCCCAACTAAAGTCATACCAAAGCAGGCAAGAGACAAAGCCACCAGACTGCCGATGTTGAGCCAGGGTTTATGCACTCTCGGCTTCAGCTGCAGATATCGCAGCACTCCCAGAATGAAGCCTGGAGCCCGAGAGACCATGAACATTTATTTCAAACAATTCTACATTCATTCCAAGATGTAGATGAGTTTGTTTCTTTATCAGATTTGGAGCACTGCATCACCGTCTCGCCAATGGAAGTGAATGGGTGCCGTCAGAATGAGAGTCCAAACAGCTGATAAAAACATCACAATAATCCACTCCAGTCCATCAGTGAACATCTTGAGAAGATGAAAGCTGTGTGTTTGTAAGAAACTAATCCACCATTACGCTGTTTTTAACTTCAAACTGTTGCTTCCAACTAAAATGCATGCCTTCTATTCATAACATTGCTTCCTCCAGAGAACTGTCGTCATGGGGCCGTTCCTCGTACCTCGCTGAATACATCCGAGATGATCTATGATCTAATCGTGATAACTGATCTCTGGCTAATTTGGTTCTTCAAACGAATTTGCGGATTTGATTCAAACATCTGGATTCAGTTGTCTAAGATCAGTGCGCGTTCTCGTGTTCCCCGTAAAGGGCAGATGTATCGATACTCGAGACCACGATCAGCAATCAGTGTTGCCAACTGCTGTCAATTGAAAGCAGCTAAAACTGTAGCTAAATGTCACTAGATGACATCACAATGGCTATATAAAGATGAATATAGATCAGTGGGCAAGGTGAGAACTTAGATACGGTTTATCCAAGAAGTTGCTATATTTGTCCCTAAACCTTTGAAAAAAGTCTCAAAAGGGGTGGGGAAGTCACTGAATCTAGCTACAAAATTGCTAAATTGGCAACACTGTCAGCAATGCAGCGATTGGCCGGCGGCAAGACAGCAACGTAAGGACATCATATAATTAAAAAAGACACCTGACGGGAAAACTTGACACGTTTCTGGAAACAGCCAAGCGAACAAAACTACATAAATGTAATAATAGATCAATGAAATGTGCTCTGTTTTTATAGATTTTTTTACGTGATTATTTATATTCATGATTTGTAGTATTTGTACAGGCATTTCAATTTTTATTTCAGTGTTGTAATTAGCAATTCATTTAATTTTATCGGTTTGTTACGTGACCGCATTAATTCAAGTTTCTTTAGTATCTGCGTCTCCTGCGCTCCAGCAAGCCACGCCCATAATATCTATCAGCACTCAAATTAATGCACGGCTCAGATTAACTGTACAGCATGTGTGTAAGACTCCAATACAATTATAGAGTTATTATTTCATCACGGATACATTTTTGAATGAGTGAACCTGGCTGTGTCTATAGTGTTATAGATGATGACTACACAACATTATAATATTTTTGTATTCATTTTTAAATGATTATTATTGTAAGTTACCGTCCCTGGATCAGAAGGGTACTCTTCTAATAAAGCAGCAGTGGCTGGGACAGATTTTAAGTATCGGTTCCGCTTACAAAGATGCGATCTAATCCTGTTTACATGAAATAAGCTGCTCCCGAGCAGGTTTAAGCGTACGGACCTGTTGACGGCAAGTCTGGGATGAGCTTCGAGGAACCAAACAATCCAAGATCACGCCAAATCATCAACAATCAAATCCAGCTAACTGAGTTAGCCACGTGCGAAGAACAGACCCCTGGTCTGAATCAAGAGAGAAATCTGCAAAAAGAAAACAGTCCAAAACCGCTCTAATATGTGGCTGGATTTTGATGTGAGAGACAACAGATGATGGACTTTGTCTCTGGAGGAAGCGTTATTATAGACTCGTATTTTAGCCAGAAGTGACAGTTTAAAGTTTATGATTTGTTTCTTACAAACACACAGCTTTCGTCTTCTCCAGATGTTCACTGATGGACCGGAGTGCTGTGGATTATTGTGATGTTTTTATCAGCTGTTTGGACTCTCATTCTGACGGCACCCATTCACTGCAGAGCATCCATCTGATGAAGAAACAAACTCATCTACATCTTGAATGGTCGGAGTAAGTTTTAAGAAATTTTCGTTTTTTTTTGGTGAACTATTCCGAACTAAACTGCTGTTCATATGATGTTGGTGGACAGTGCAACAATTGCATCAGGCTACAATTTCAGTGCATATGAAGTAATGATTATAGTAGTCGTTAGCTCTTAGCTCTTTCTGTTTATAAGACCAAGTCCTCTGATAGGATCTGAGCACCATTCATACCTACAAAGGCTGCCATGTTCATGACTTGACTGAACACACAGCTGGCAGGTGGAGCATTGCCTGCGATGCTAAACAGCAAAGACAGCGCATAAGAACATTTCTCAACCTCTAAACAAATCGTGCAATTCATAATAACATTCATACAGATTTACCTGATATATGGAGGAGATTTCGATTCTGACCTCCTAGGAAAATCAGTTTGAAGGAGGCATAAATATTGATTTCTTAGATGAAATAATTGGCTTGCGATAGAGGGATATGTCCTTACTTGTACTCTGCACTGAGTGGGGTGATTTTCTCATCCTCCACAGCAATGAAATACCTGTTTAGAATGAAATTATATAACATTTATCTTAAATCATTGACCTGGAAACAGACAAAGCAGGTGTCGGATACTCACACCACCCAGAGACCAGCAGCTGTGAAGAAAGAAAACATTACAGGCAGAAACACCCATGGGCTGCACTTCCTCATGTCTCCTTGTGAACGTCAATAAAACAGCCCTGCAATAAAACCAACAGCATATTCTAACATCCTACATTCATACTCTAACAAATGCATCACATTTAAAGTGCAACAGTGGCTGCCCCATTTTTATATTTTTTTTATATTTTTTCCTTACAAATGTTAGTCCATTACAGATTACTTTATGAAAATTGTAGTTAGTAATGTAATCTGGGTTACTCATTTTAGGTGCATTCTGACTACTTTTTAGATTTATTTTACATGACTTTTACCTATAACTTGTTTTAAACATACCATAAAATGTACCACATTTATATTTTTTTTAAAAAGCACAATGAAAGAAAATATATTTCATTCTTTGATATCATAAAATGCATTTAACATTAAGCTTTTCAAATCTAAATAGTACAACGCACAGTATGATTTTTTTGTAAGGAAACTTTAAAAGAGAAAAGAAATCAAACAATTATAAGTAAATTGCTGCCATTGTGAATAATACGTAATCATGTAATCCATAATAAGTAACTAATCGGATTATGAGTATTTTAAAATGCAATAGAATCTAATTACAAGTGCTTACTTTTTGTAAGAGCCAGATCACATGTAATCAGTTACTACTCGGCTCTGGTTATCCAATCATTTTCTTCAAATGAATTTCAAAAAAAGATTCTTCAATAAAAAGTTATTTGCAACATTAGACCATATGATTTAAAAATGTAAATCTGAATTAATGAACTACTGATCTCACGAAGCATTGTGAGTTATGTAACTGAATCAAAAAAGGATATTTATTGCAAGTTTATTCCAAAAATTGTAGTTTTTACCTCTTGTTAAAGAAGTGTGCTTAATTCTTCCGAAAGTGCACTTGTAGTGTACTTATTTTTTTTAAATAGTATATATATATATTTAATATATTAATAGTGTATATATATATATATATATTAAACTGTACTTGCAGGTAATATATTAATGAAATAAAAGGCAGCTTAATTGTACTCAGAGTGCGTAGTTTTGTGACTGCCTTAACACATTTAAAGTGATAGTTCATCCAAAAAGAAAATCCGGTCAACATTTAGTATTTTACCTCAAGTTGTTCCAAACCTGTATGAGTTTCTGTCATAAAAGAAGATATTTTGAAGAATGTTGGTAACCAAACCATTGGCGGTGGCCATTGTCTTCCATATAAATATATACAGTGGGGCAAAAAAGTATTTAGTCAGCCACCAATTGTGCAAGTTCTCCCACTTAAAAAGATGAGAGAGGCCTGTAATTTTCATCATAGGTATACCTCAACTATGAGAGACAAAATGAGAAAAAAAAATCCAGAAAATCACATTGTAGGATTTTTAAAGAATTAATTGGTAAATTCCTCGGTAAAATAAGTATTTGGTCACCTACAAACAAGCAAGATTTCTGGCCCTCACAGACCTGTAACTTCTTCTTTAAGAGGCTCATCTGTCCTCCACTCGTTACCTGTATTAATGGCATCTGTTTGAAATGGCTAACATCAGCTCTTTGGTTGCATTCTTAGAAATATTATTTTATGTGTGTGTGTGTGTGCGCGCGTGTGTGTGTGCGCGCGCGTGTGTGTGTGTGTGTGTGTGTGTGTGCGCGCGCGTGTGTGTGTACGTGTGTGTGTGTGTGTGTGTGTACGTGTGTGTGTACGTGTGTGTGTGTGTGTGTGTGTGTGTGTGTGTGTATGCACTTTACTGTGAATGGGACAGGAATCAAACCACTGACCAGCCTCGAGATGTCTTGGAGAATGTCGACAGGGTTCAGTCTACTGAGACAAAACAAAAAGCAGTCCTTTTACTGGCACACTCCAGTGTGCCTGACATCTGAAGGCGTCTATAAAGCATGCATTGTTAATATGACAGCAGGTTTATTGATCAGTAAATGTCCATTCCTTGATTTGGTGCTCGTGGACAGCGCCTCAGTGCTGAAATAGTGTGGCCAGTGACCGAGATCAGGATCATTTCCCTGGTTCCACATTCACTAATCCAGATGCAGAAACGGTAGGAAATAGGATAATAAATGGCCTAACTTATTTATCAGCTTGATATGATGGACTTTATTAGCCATACTATAGGATAGCAATGCAACATTTAAAAAATAATGTATTTCTTACGACTCAAAATAATAAAATGACACCTTAGTTTAGCGGACAAACCCAAATATTGACCATGTTCACTCTGAATCGAGATACACAGCATGAAATGTCTGAAATAACTCATTGGGCGGCATTAATATTGCGCGATACTGATCTGTAAAGCTGTCCGTATTGTCTTCGCCATTAAAATGGGAGATAGCGCATCATTTAATAAAAGTAATACATTGTGAACGACGAGTATAAAAGCCATACCTTGTAGACAGCACACTCTTCTGTCGCGTATAAAGCCCGTGTCCTCTTCATCTCATTAGCACTGCGCGACGGACATCGTTTGCGTTGGGCTGTGTCTGAGAGAGCCGGGGAACGGGTTTGGCTTCACCGAGAGATGAGCTGCACGGCTTGGGCCGACGGACTCGGGCGCTATTTCTCAGACAGACATTGCGCCGTGGATCTTCTTACGAGTCAGGTCCGATTCGCAGGCGAGTCGTTCTTTTGAACCGGTTCTTTCAAGGATTCAAACGAACCGATTCGCAAAGCATTCGGACTTCGCCGCGGATCCAGCGCTGCACCAGGCCACAGGTTGGAATAGAATAGAATTATTATTTTGTATTATTATTTAAATACGTTTCACAAGAAAATACAATTTAGTATCTCTGCTTAAAACATCACGTTTGAAGTATTGTCGTTTCTTTATAATTATTAATACAATTTCTAAGGCTACTAACAATTTCTGAATGAGGTGAATCCTAAATATGTTTTTTGTTTTGTTTTGTTTTTCATGGTTTGTGAATAAAAACGCAGTTATAACTACATATGCAAAGTGAAACCATTATGAAAAGTAAAACAACCGGTTTTGTTGTTGTTAGATCGTCTTCTCTCTTGAACCTTTGTCAGATACACATTTACACAGGGCTCTTACCGTGATATTAAACACAAATACAACTCAATGCAAGCTAAAGGTAAGGCTAATGACTTTCGAAAGTTTAAATCGAAATCAAAACTACGCGCCATTAACACTAACTCAAACGAAACTGAAATTAAAAAAACTAAATACAAAACAAACATAAAAACTGGTCAAAGTTGTTATCAACCCTGACAGCAAAAGCAGTGTTTCTATAGCGTTAGCTGTTAACGCGATAAGCGTGTGAAAGAACAGAGCTATATGTCAGATTTCAGCTTTTATGCCACAGTTTGTTAAAGTTAACGTGTTGGTGTGTACACTTACCATTAAACACACACAGGAGCTGATCTGGGGTGCGTTTCTCAAAAGAAACTATGGTCAGAAGTTCCGTCACTGCCAATAGAGTTCCAATAGAGTGCCAATAGAGTGCCAATAGAGT